GAATATGATCCACGACAAGGGCAGCCGAGATTTTGCAGCAGCAAGGTGCCTTCACCATTCCGGACCCACTCCGTTTGAGCTAACTGTTCGGAATGGGCGCTGTTGTTGTTGCCTTGAGTTCTTTGGGGGGTACAGTGTAGGACAGGGCGCAAAGCTCTTGTTGTTCGCGTCGGGACTCGTCTTGCATGGTGCAGGGCACGATTGTTGTGGCGTCGTGATGCCCTTGATCACGGTTCTGAGCCAGGTGGGAGTGGTTCGGGTACTTGTTGTCCTTCCTTGTGGAGTGCCGCCGAAGTCACCTGCCACCTGTGTTCTTCAACGAATTGGAGCACGAAGTCGATTTTTCACGGATTTGCCTTCTCAACGGGAGAGGGCCTACAGCAGAAGCCGTAGCGGCTTCTGCGTGTGCAACAGGTTGAACGCCAGCAACCTTCGCGAGGATGTAAAGCTTAGCGAGGATGTAAAGCTTAATTATTTAGTAGTACGAGTTTGGGTTGGAGGTTAGGGTTAAAGGTAGGTATTTAGGGTTACGAATAGTGGTATCATCGCGAAGGCGGTCTTGAAGTAAGGGGAGAACCCCGTCGCGGCGCACGATGATTCTTGGTTGCAAGCATGCATGGTCGAGCAACGTGTCGACATGAAACTGTGGTTGCGGTTGACTTTCGTACCAACAAGCACATACATGCGGCGTAGGGACGCAAGTGTCGAGTTCGAACGGGTTTTTGAGTACGCACCATCAGTCGACACACGTGACCGGAACGGCACACAGGATTGAGAACACCAACATGTGAGCGTGAGCGTCTTCGCATTTTTTTCCTTGCGGCGGCACCCCATGGGATGGTCAGAATTTGTTTCCATTGCACGGCCGGTGTTTCGTGCACGGCCAGTGTCTCAATGTAGGGTACCTACAAAAAAAGAAGAGGTACGTGTTTGGCAGACACTGCTGTAGTGTCGTCCCCATGGTTTTGAGCGTCCCCCCAAAAAATTAGCGCCAGTTCGTCCACATGAACAAGTTCACACGACATCATGCCACCATGCTGTGTACGTAACCCCTTCGGCGTTTCGGTGAATGTTTTCTGTTGCGCGGCCAATCCACTGTATGTAAGAATTTTGAGACGGTCCTCTCTGAAACCGAGTCACGCACCAGCACATATCACACGCGGGGCGGGTGTGTACAGAATCACGCTTGGGCTTCCCACAGCTTGTAATATTTCTGTGTTTCATCAACTTCCACTTCATGCGGGCATAACTAAATGGACAAAGTAGGGTCGCATCATGTCACCCCTGCGACCCGCCCTGGTGGGCGCTGTAGTGGTTCCATGTTCGTAGATGCCGTCCCCCGCCGCCGAACGCAACCCGGCGATGACAATTTCAAACCGGAATCAGACCGAAGGAAAGAAAAGTAAACCCACGCCCCACTTGGGGAGCCATTGGAAGTACTTGCTGTATGGGACGTGGCCGCCTGATTCACATCACACGTACTTGTAGGTACGTGCGTGCTCAACAACAGGTGATCACCATTTATTTGTTGTTGAGCACGTGGTGAATGAATGAATGTGAATGGAATAACGCCAGCTGCCCACATCGCCAGGGTGCTTGTTACTGCCGTTGTCTCTTATTTTCAGAGGGAAGAAAGGAAGTGACTATTACAACTGACAGCGAATAAAAACATGCACGTGACATGTAGACCTCCTGCTGTACTGGGTGTAAGAGACCTTTTACATGCAGACTATCTAGATAGTGTCAAATTTCACATTAATGCAACGAATTGCTGTGCTGTCGTGATCGTGCGGAGCACATGACATTCCGTACTGGTCGGCATATTCCACTAGGGCTCTAAAAGACGCGGAACATACAACCCAATGTGGACGACGGATCCCGTCGGATGCGCGTCGGCCTACGGGTGTCGAAGCGTCAGTGGTCTAGCCGCCATTTGCCGAAGAGGCAACAGAGTGACGCAGTGACGACGTGACGACTGATCAACTCATCATCAACTTGCGTCAACTCATCAACTCGTCACGACGGTGGTCTACCTAACGCCCAGTTTTGAGAAAAAAGCATCTCCTCCAGGAAGAAAGTGAAGCCTGTCCACCGTGAACGTATCAACTGCTCACTAACTAGTCCCCCTTGTTGTTGCCATCACCATTGCCGTGTGCCGTAAGAAACAAAAACGTATGCATACACTCCCTTCTTCCCCTCGCTCCTCGACAAGCTTTTGCTTAGACATGGGTTGTAGTGAAGGGGGGGTCTTTCTGGCGAGCAGGGCTAGACTCACCCTCAAGGGATGACCGAAACCTTCTTGCTGCTGCGCATATCCGCCGCGAGGCATGCGCGTGGTGGTGTAGTTGGGTCGGCACTGATGGGGTCAGGCGAAAAAATGTAGATGCGCGGGCCTCTGGCCGTCGGCGTAGGCAGCGATGCCCATCTCATTT